CCGCTACACATCGTGACGCTGCGTCATTTTCAATCGGATAAGAATAAGTACTGCGATACCCAGCAGTACTCATTTGTCTATTGGGAAGTCGTAACTCCTAAAAATGTGGATGCCAAACTTTTCTTCGACGAAGTAAAAACTCGCTCAGTAATTTGGGATATTAGTCATGAGGACTATAAAAACCGAAACTGTGAAAGTGTGAATTAGAAATGCGATAAGATTGAAATGACGCAGTGTGTCCCGATAGGTTTGTGCACCGGGCCTAATTCTTCGGGTCACGAATGGCATTAATTTAAGCGTTGTCGATGTTTTTTACGGACACCCACTATACGTATTGACACCGAAAGCAACGACATCGACAAGGGTATCATCATAACAAAGCAGAGAGAGTCATGACATCCAATTAAATATCAATGCAGCGTGATAGATAGAGGCTCGGCTGTCGCTCGTTAGATCCGTCACCATCATATAGTATGTTGTGTATATATGCCAACATCATTTTTATGATTTTTAATATCGTTTAATAAATATAATGTCGTCTAAATTTAACAGGCCATCTCATATTTAAAAAGAGAAAGAGATAAAGGAACCGGTAACGTCAAGGCACAAGACATTGAAATCCAAAAAGGGTATACATTTACAAGATGCCCCAAATGCTGCTATTGTGTGTAGGAGAGCAGGGAAAATTAGATGGAGTAGCAAAAATTTGATTTTCTGAAGATGTAAGAATATAATAATAAAGAGCAACAGCCGTTTGGGCATTATTTGTTAATTTCATTTAACACAGGACAATCAATTAAGATTGTGGCCTTTTATATATGAGAGACCTGGTTAAAGTTAGTGATCTTTCTCGCTGTCTACGAGCAGTCGTCAGGAAATTATTTGGTTCGGAGCAAAGAATTTTCTAATGGTCCCGCATATAATGTAAGTATTTTATTATCTGTTGGTGGGTAGTTGTTGTAAGTAGATACACTCCATGCCAAATCGACCAGCTGTTTTTGTTTGGGACGGAAAAAGTTATAAACAAAAGCCGTTTAAATTTATGACGGCCTCTGTAGAAAAAGTGGTAAAGGATATTGAGGTGAGGCAGTATTTAGTGATCCTCGATTTTCAGGCTAGCGATAAGGAAACCCTTGTGTGGACTACGAACTATGTCCAAATGGGAAAAGTTGCTGGGGAGATTTCATAAAGGGTAGGTTTCAAATCAGATCAAAAAGATTATTTGCCTTTGAGAATATTTACGTGGAAGTTAAGAGTTGAAAGCTATGTTGCCATAAAAAAATCGATTGTCTGTAAAGTCGGTTTACTGACGATAGTTGAACGTGACAACGTCATAAGAAAATACTGATGGAATGGTTTCATTTTTCAAAAGAAAATTTTAATTTTATTTGTTTGATAGATATTTTGTATGGATATAGAGAAGGAGGTAAATGGAAATGTATTATTGTATAGCAGCTGTCCACGCGGACGCATCGCTCACTCAAGTAGGAGAGAGACAGATGTCGAACGCTGCCGAACGCGGAGGCCGATTGTGCCTCCTTGTCGCTCGTTCCGCGCTCTCGCTTGCACTTCAAGCCTTAAATGGAACGCCTCAGAACGAGGTAACGCCGCATGAGTCATGTTTTTTCGTGCGTGCAGCCGGCTCCATCGAATTATAAGACGTTGTCACGTCAAAAATGGATTTTTAATTTTCATGACCATAAAGATTACCTACTATTTCTGAATGGTGCTGATGGTGACATCCACCATCAAATGACATGATATAAGGACGCTTTTTTGTCCATGGAATTCTTTTAAAGAGAGATTTATTGAGTTACAACCAGAACGAGCCGCACTCAGGATCTGCATCAAATCGAATTTCATAATAAGCGCAACGACAATGTGTGGGAAGTTGAATCCAAAGGTCCAGGATATTGAAACTGATAAATGAGCAGTTCCTGTAGGACGAGAGTGATTGTTTGTTATGCAATATCGAATAAATACCAAAAATGGCATAGGGAATGTAGTCATCGTGTGGTCGATTGTGGCAGGAGGAGTTTTGCATCGTACTATTCCGTATTCTAGTGAGTGTAGGTATAAACTAATCAATTGTTGTTAAGTATAATAATTATAAGTATAAATAAGATGCTACGGTGGTGGGGGGCAACTAAATCTCAATTATGTGTGTACATCATACGTCATGTCGCCGTAGCCCACGGTAGTCATGGTAACGACGGCCCACCAGAACGCGTCTGGGATGGACTTAAAGAAGGACTGCTCTGAACCGGCTTCTGCGAAGTAGACGGCGCTCGAGAACAGCACGACACCTGTAAGGAGGAAGGGGGCACAGTGAGTGGTAGAATAGTGGGCAAAAGTACCTCATGTCGCCGTAGCCCACGGTGGTCATGGTGACAACGGCCCACCAGAACGCGTCCGGGATCGATTTGAAGAACGACTGTTCGGTACCTGCTTCCGCGAAGTACACCGTACTACTGAAGAGCACCACGCCTGAAACATGAACCAAAACGCACACGCGCCATCGCCAATCATAATTACTTAACTTTATCGATTTTGCCAAATCACAATCCCCCCCAATTTTTTTCACATTTCACTGCAGAAGTTCAACTTTAAGAAGCACGGAAAATCATAAAGAAAATATACAAAATAGCACAAACGGCGCGGTAAACGCCATCTGTAGTCCGATGCTACATTTAGTGCTACATTTTGTGTGGATATCTACTTGCTGAAATGAATCCCGGCGTAGCCAACTTCAACGTGATAGGCACGTTACCATAATCGAATAATCGTTATTGGAGCATACGTAATCGTAAAACGTAGCATCGGACTACAGATGGCGTTTACCGCGCCATTTGTGGTATTTTCTAAAACGCAGTTAAGACAGCAGGTAAAAGTTGGTCTGTGTTCTGTCGGAGCTGTCTGCGACGCGCTGATGAGATCCAAAAAGATCAAAATCGCGAACTGCGTCTGGCGGTTTCGAGAGAATACAGACCATTTTGAATTATTTTATAAAATATAAAAAATCTGCCCATAAACAATTTGGTTCCATTTTTAATCACTTTTGACACCTCTCAGCCCCACTTGCTCTACCATGGTCTCATCCTTGGACCCTCACGCCTAACCCAACATGGTCTTCCCAACGTTTTTGAAATTTTGGTAATTGTCTAGTTTAGCAGCCACACCTCCGATCACCTCAAATATTTAATATGTTGTAGAGGTTATTTTGCTAATTACTTTGATATATATATATATTTAGGCGCGGGAATCATAATAAGGCATACTTTTCAAAGACATCATTCAAACATAACAGCCAGTCTTCTGCGGGCAGGGGCATGAAAGAATCTCCAGATCTACCTAACTAACCAATGACGTCACCAGTGCATATACATCTCCAAACCTAACCTAACAATGACGTCACCAATGGAAATCCATCATCCATCGGAGAGATGTGGCTGTTAAACAAGACAATTACCAAACTATATATTACAGGAAATACGTCATCTTCAGTCCGATTATTGCGTGTAGGTAATAGATATTGATCCATTTCTACATTCTCCTCTTCGATCTACCAAATATTAACCCCCCCCCCCGGCCCGTCCCGCACAAGATCCAGAATAGTCTAAAACCTTCCAACTTTACAGACCCATACGGTTTACGGGAAGAGTAAGTACATTAGTCAATGCTGCTAGGAAACAAATCTGGGTATACATATGCTAATTTAAGCGATAATGGCAAGTGCTTACGCGAATACGTCTTTCTTTAGCAGATGGAGCACGCCATCGGGTTAAGCTAGAGGTGCTCTCTTGAACAAAATTTATAGTGATCGAACAATTTCGGTTCATTCCAAACGTGGAGTAACAGTGATAAAATTGCAGTGTGGATCAGCCACATTGTACGGGGATCGAGAGAGAGGTGCTGGCTAATTTATACCAACTTAACCCTTTAAATGTTTCTAACAGGTGGGATTACCTGTAATGCACTACATCTGACGCAACTTTATTACAGCGGCAATTTTGAGCTCTGACTCCATTGTTAACTATGTGTCTCGCTATACAAATGGGAGAACTGAACTGAATACATTTGTAGCCAATAGAAATATGCGCAGCCTAAGTTCATGACCCATGAGATTCTGAATTACCTCTAGTATTCAGAACATATTTATGTTGTCATGAAAATTGAACAATTTCATGCCAGAAGAAACACCTACCTTGTGTGCACCGTACGCTTTTCTTCATGCGTTTGATGCATTGTACATTTAATTTTAACCAAATTGTAGAATCAAAGAAAACCCTTTTACAAATAAATATGCAGTAGGTACTGAATAAATACATACAAAATTAAATAATAATTATAGACACTTAATAGAGTTTTAAACTTCTGCAGTGTTCTACTTTTTTAAATTATTTTTATTTTCCCAATAATAAATTTGTAGTTGAAATTTTCTTATAAATGTACAAATGGACAAATCGATTTTAAAGGATCTTTTTTGTACCTATTCGGATTAATATATCTGACGAACCTAACGTAAAAGATTATAGATAACTTAATAACAATTTCAAAGTATGTGTCGTGGCGCTCTGAAAACTGTAACTGTAAAAATGCAATTTGCTTCCGATCAGAAAATCAAATATTTAAATCACCAAATACAATGATTTAAAAAACCAATTCAACGGCATAACAATATGGATTAGAAAAAACAAACACTAAATATTGAACGAGTAGTTTCAATTACCTAGATACATATTTCGAAAATTTGTTCCAAAATTTCATAAATATGCCGAAAGAAAGAAATCAACTGGAAGGAATTTAAACCAGGAGTTATAAAGTGTCTATTGATATGAAGCCAAAACCAACGTTTCGCATCCGTTTGTGAGACTTTTTCATCAAGTTTAAAACCAATTATTTTTTCTTTTCGATTTTCAAAATCGAAACGAGAACCTTGTGTAAATGTTCGTCGACCATTCAGATGCCAGAAGGTAATTAAAAGTAAAGGAATGACTTACCGATGAATAAGAAAAATATGAGCAGTCCGAGTTCCCTCATGCTGGCTTTAAGCGTTCGACCAAGTATCTGGAGGCCCTTGCTGTGCCTACTGAGCTTAAATATTCGGAAGACACGTACGAGTCGGATCACCCGCAGGATGGCTAGCGACATGGCTTGGTTGGTGCTCTTGTCCTGTGGACTGACAGGAGCCCGCGGAAGATTCAGTGTATCTTCTTCTTCAGCCACCTTTGAAAAAAAAATAACATCCTCAGCAATCTCTCTCGGCAACACGTATGTATACTTATTGAAAATACCACCAAAGTACTGTATGCATATAAAATGGCATATTTACAAAGATGAAAGTTTAATATCTGCAAGTTAAGTAAACAGAAATACGTTAAACAACAAGTTTGTGATGACTTAATTAAAAAAATAACAGCTTTTATGTAACAATTTACAAAATTATTTCTAGCCCTAATAAAGCTGCACAAACTGATTGAAATTTTAAAAAGAATAATAATTAAAGTCGAAAAATAAGTTACATTGATCTTTTAACGGAATATAAAGCGTAGTACGTATTTGTTGATCAATTTTATTAAAATGTTAAATATAAGTCGGAAAATGTGTATTACGTATTTTTTATAGGAACCCTGCTATAAAACGCTTTGATGAAAATCAGGGAAAACTAAATATTCCTACTATAAGGTTTTTAGTTGCAGAAGCGTTATCTTAGGCTATATTGTCCTACAATAAATTAGGAATCCTTCCATCTGTCATACTGTATGTCCCAGGTCCACATAACTCTCATTTATACACTCTCTAAGCCAAAATTTGGAATAATGGTATAAATTAGTGATCCAAAAACAGAAATGATAATAAAATAATTATTGCAATTTTTCATGCCTAAGAAGGTATCCTACCAAATTACTTCGCTTATTTCTTATTGACTTCCATAGAGTCCTCTGTTCTCCTACTCTTTCTACTTCTTCTAATTTTTCGTCTCCTATCTTTATATTCACTCCTTTCCTACTTTTTCTTCTCATGTATATCAGTGTTTTTGTATTACTTTTATTTAGCAAGATTTTGATAAGTAATTTAAATTGAAACTATTTGAGTAATTAGATGGGAATTATTTACATATTTCAATTCAATATTAAACTACTGTATCAGGAGAGAGCTACTGATAATCCTAGCACGATCCTGTATGAATATCGTCTAAACTAACTAGAATTGTGTATTGCATAGGTACTACTACTTATTAGCATCTACAACACCTACGAGTACGTCGATTATTATCTAGCCGTTTTTATTAAATACATTACCTGGGTATTGTTACGTTCAAGAACTGTTTCCCACTTTGGATACAACACGAACTGAGTGAATTTATTTTAATAATATAATGTGACAATAAACAGAAATTAAATCGATTTTTCGAACCACAAAAATCACACCTAACAATAAAATACTAAGGACGATTAATAATAATAAATATATACGAAAATTATTATTTTTTTTAATTACGTTACTTTTTTGGTTTCCATAGTTTGAATATAAAGAATACTTTTAGACATATATTTATTAATTACAATTTAATAACTTGCAATTAATAGATATAACAATAAAATAATCTCAATGTGACGATTAACGAATAAAAAAAATCGGTTGTCTGTAAAGTCGGTTTACTGACGTTAGTTGAACGTGACAACGTCATAAGAAAATACTGATGGAATGGTTTCATTTTTCAAAAGAAAATTTTAATTTCATTTGTTTGATAGATATTTTGTATGGATATAGAGAAGGAGGTAAATGGAAATGTATTATTGTATAGCAGCTGTCCACGAGGACGCATTGCTCACTCAAGTAGGAGAGAGACAGATGTCGAACGCTGCCGAACGCGGAGGCCGATTGTGCCTCTTTGTCGCTCGTTCCGCGCTCTCGCTTGCACTTCAAGCCTTAAATGGAACGCCTCAGAGCGAGGTAACGCCGCATGAGTCATGTTTTTTCGTGCGTGCAGCCGGCTCCATCGAATTATAAGACGTTGTCACGTCAAAAATGGGATAAATCAAAATTATTAGAGGAAATTTAATACTTTAATCGTTAATAATTACTGTAGGATTTTGAAAATGAAGTTGTTTGTGGTTTAATTCGTTAGACACATGAAAAATACTGTGATTACTGGTTATAACATTTCACAGAATGAAAATATGTATTATATCGTGAGAACAGGTACTTACCACGGTGGCCAAAGTGATGAAGTATGGAATGATGGCGATGATGTCAATCATGTTCATGACGTCACGGAAGAAATTGAGCTTGTTCGGACACGCGAGAAAACGTACAGTCAGCTCGAACGTGAACCATATAATACAAATAGTTTCGATAAGGAAAAAGGGATCTGTGATGTCTGGCACTTCATCTTCTTCGATTTTCGTGCGATTCGCTGTCGTATTGAAAACCTGCAACAAAAAACAGAACAATTGTTGCATCATGCCACAAGGACAAGAACCGAAAAAGTTCTTCGGAAACATATGTCGCTCTCGACAAACAACACGAGAAACTTTTCGAAACAACTTAAACCCAAAAGCCAGAAAAGTACATGGAGACTTACAAACAATATGTGGAATTTTGCGGATGATGAAGGACGAAGGACCGCAGTGGTTGGTGGCGTTCAGTAACTTACATTTATAATTTATTGTCAATACAGGAGCAGGAGTCTCACAAAACTATGTTTAAACATTTTTGTTTAATGGACTTGAACTTTATCGGATTATTTTATATGTTCGAAAAACTTCAAATTCAATTTTACCAATATCGACTAATTTCTAATTGCGTATTAATATGACGACGTTTCGACCGTCAATTTCGGTCATCTTCAGGCTAAATTTCCAATATGATAAAATATATACAACTATAACAGTCAATTACCACATCTTCACTCATATTCATGTTTAAACGTTTAAACATTTTTTTTTGTTACCACGACGACCTAGTCAATATATATATATATATATATATGAATGTTTGTCTGTATGTCCTTTATAGAATCGTAAACTATGCATTTGATCATGTGATGATCTTTAGCAAAGTTGTTGTGCATGAGCCAAAGAAGGTTTCTGAGTTGATACGACCAATTTTTGACGGGAAAAACAAGAAATATTGTGTAGGTATCCCACAGCACTTCAATAAATATCGAATTGAAACGAAACGCTACAATGTCACAATTTTTCCGAAATGAACAAAATCAACAATTCTTTTACATTAATTCCCTACTTATTTATTATACTTCAAAGATGTCCTACCAATTGTTTCATACTCACTGAAGTTTTGGGAAGCAGAGAAGAAACCGATAAATCATATTAGAAAAATTCGAGGAAACTCATCTAGAAGCAGCAGCACTAATTGCTGTGAAAACAGAACAGAAAAAAACCGAAACCGTTTTGTTAATGCAGTATATTATATACATTTTCTAAATCATTAGATTTGCCCACTCAAACACGGGGGGGGGCACCTGTTTTGTGCTCATGTAGCCGTAATTGTTTCGTCCGGTGTTGAGTGAGTGAACTTTTTATAGCAAAACTTGACGAGGGAAGCATTTTCTTCCGCTGGAAAGAGTTATCATAAAAAAAGAACTGAATTTTAAGACTAAAAATTTTAAAGTTTACAACCCCCCAAAAAAATTTTCTACCTTTATGAATTATCTTCTTTAATTTAGCTTTAATGTACTCATTCCGCCATTATAGTCTTAGAATCTGCTTCTATCAGTATTTTCCCGGTTGAAGTTCAAGTTTGATAAGAACTGCCTGGGATCACAGCTGAGTTATACTTCATTTACTTTCTCTAGCGATGTGCCCTTTCCAATATCTTGGATGCGCGCTGGCAAAATCGTAGGTGGGGAGAAAAAAGCTCATTATACTCTCGACTCTTGTTCTTTAAACATACTTTTTCATACAGTACCTGCCAAAAGTTTTATTCAATCATAAATAGTAGTGCGAGTCGAAAACAAGCGTTAAAGCATTTAATTTGTCTTCAAATATAAATAAACATCTCGTTGACATTTTCAGTAGTAAATGCTACCAATAACAGCACATTTGAGCAATGCAATTGTAGTGGATAAAATGGTCAATTTTTCCGTGCAGTACTCTACAGATTATACGCTCCTCACCGGTTAAGAGTTTGGCCGAGAGTTGTCTCCTTCCTTTTCCTGGCCTAGTGCTGTTCTTTTCTACTTTGCACTGGCCACATCGCTACAGAAAGTAAACGAAGTATAGTATTAGGTTTTACTGAATCGTGATTTGGATATTTTTCCAAAGTATTTCATTAGAATAGATGGAGTAGAACAATAGAATCCCACAGGAGCGTATTGTATTATGTTAGCTGGAGAGATGCACCTCTCGCGTATGTGAAAGCTCATGAGATTTTCGACTAGCTCTACCATTCTGCCGAACAACCGAAGTGTTTCAAACTTTTTTTCATGTAAGTTCCATGACGACTTTCCAACTGTTTAGAAAGTTATTTCTGAATCCAGAAAAGCATTTCATTATTATACGTAGACGCATATTTTTAGTTGAATGCGTTTCTGTTGTCGCGTGGAACTGACGTATTTTAAGATGAACCTATAGTTAGAATGTTCAATGACTAGGCCAACAAAATTTCCGTTATTTAATTTAGACTACTTTTACTTAAACTATGCCCGCGTGGACACAAGCCAAATAGCACAAGACACGCTCAAACATCAATTACACACATAACTTTGCAATTAACCGACAATAACACACTTTCACCGGTTCACAGTGACCCGCGACTTTTGAGAAAAACATTTTCTTTCTTATAGAATCTTGGAGCTTTTAAAATCGTTCTTTTTCAAATGTAAGCAATGAAGTCCATTAGCAATTAAGTCATCTGACGCTTTTATTTGCGTATATAATGATTGATTTATTATCCTAGATTTACTTGAAAGCGTTAAATTTACATTTATATCTTATTGCAAAAGTACTAATGCAAGTAGGAATGCTTTAAATTGAGTCCAGGATTTAGTTATGGAGTATCATTTGGATGAAAATTAAGTTTTAAACCATTTTAGCCTATATTCGGGCCCGGATCCTACCAAAACAATGTCCTTGTCCAAGGTAAGGCTTTGTAGAATTAGAAAAAGCTTTTGACAATGTTAAATTGGACAAGATGTTAAATATACTTAAAAATGCAGGGATGAGTTACAGAGAAAGAAGAGTGATACCTAGTTTGTATAAAGAGCAACAAGCAGTTGTAGAGCAGAAACGTAGAGAAGTAAATATTAGGGTAAAGTAGGGAAAGAGCGAATGTAAAGATAGGAGACGAAAGATTAGAAGAAGCGGCTGATTTTAGGTATGTAGGAAGTCAGATAAGTCAGGACGGAAGGAGTAGTCGGGATATAAAGCAGAGGATAGCGCAGGGTCGAGTCGCCTTCAATAAAAAGAAGTTAATTCAATGCTCGGGAACGATTAATTCAGAAATTCGAAAAAGATTATTAAAGGTGTATGTTTGGAGCGCGACGCTGTACGAGTGCGAAATATATGTTAGAAATGAAGAGGTATTAGAAAGAATAGAAGAACAGAGGACACTATGAAGATCTAGTCAGAGACATATTAGAGGCAGAAACAGGAGTTAGGAAGGGTAGAGGTAGACCTAGATTAGATTACTGTTCGCAAATAGTTAAGGATGTGGAATGTTCTAGTTTTAGACCGAGCGGCATGGCCTAGAGGTTTAGACAAAACTTTTTTCAGTGAAAATAGCGCAAAAAGTACTACAGGATTTTGTAAAAATTTTGTAAATGATCAAATATATATGCCTATCGGGCCTATCTATGTTAGAAGCTGAAGCTTTGGCTAGCTTTGGAAAAACTTCGAAAATTCGAACCTAAAGCGCGCTCTGGTTGTCATTGGAAAGTTTCAGAACTTAATCTTTCTGCAAATTAAAAAATAACAGTTCCAACGAGTCACTTTCGGTTGAATCGGAAGCAGACAGAAATTTTATTGAGCTCAAAGCGTTATTTAAAGATGACCCTGTGTAAAAAAAAATATAGTGACACTGACCTTGTAATGTTTGAATTCGGGTAGCGTTTCCAAACAAAAAATGACGATGGACAGCAGTATGACGAAGACGGAAATGATGGCGACGACCCTGGCCGCCTGCGACGACTCAGGATACTCGAACAAAAGCCAAACGTTACGTTGCATCTCGTGCGACGGCAGCGGCTTCTCTTCCTCCTTGATGAAGCCCTCATCCTCGCGGAACTTGTTGATCGCCAGCTCGCCCAGCTCGTAGAATTTGATCTCTTCGGAGAAGACGTCGAGAGGCACGTTGACGGGCCTCCGAAGGCGTCCGCCGCTCTGGTAATAGTATAAAATCGCGTCGAACGACGGCCGATTACGATCGAAAAAGTACTCGTTACGTAACGGATCAAAATAACGGATCCGACGCGCCGGATCACCGAGTAACGTGTCCGGAAACTGGTTTAGGGTGCGGAGCTGCGTTTCGAAACGAAGACCGCTCACCTGAAACAAGAGAAACAATTTTTACAAAAATATTTCAACAATAATTTTTAGATTGAACTTTTATCGTTGAAAAGGAAACCGGGACTCATAAGAGATTTATCAGTTTTGAATCGTTTCAAACAAGAACGTTTATCACTTGACTCTAAAATGCAGGAAATAAACCGCCGGTGGTGGCATACAAATGTTATAAACAAGTCATAAATTGTCATAAAATTAAGAAGAACATCTAGGGGATCAGTCAAATGGGCATACACCATCTGGTGGCAAAACTTATAACTCGAATGAGGGAAAAATTTACATAGGAACTGTGCACGCAAATTGTAAAATTGTTTATTAAAATAATAAAACACGTTAAAAAAGTAAAAATTTTTTTGATGATGGAGTCGACGAAGTTTTCTTCTAAAGTTAAATCAAATAAAAAGTTAATATGTTCAGTGAAAAGCTGCAATAGCACTTCAGACATAGATCTTCACTCTTCACCTACATTAACTACTTTCCAATAAAAACTAACCGTTTTATATATGTAAAAAATATATTCGGAAAATTAGAGAAAAAAGTAAACTAATAGAAGCTTGGATGAAAGCAGTAGGTATCAAAGAAGTGAATTCCGGAATAAAAATTTGTTCACGTCATTTTAATGCACATGATTATATTTCAGCAAGTATTTACCATCAGCCATAACCTTAATATTTAAAACTAGAATCATACTAAAATTATAAAGTGAGAAATTATTTATTCCTGTGTAATTGATTTAACACAATTCTAATGATACGATATAAGTATTTTGAGGTTAAGAACCTACCTGCTGCAATACAACAAAGTTGCAATAATGTGTTTGCAACGTTCTCTTAAATCGGCTTTGCACGTGCAAGTCATTGATATGATATTGCTTAAATCACCCAGAATCACCTCACCAATTATATAACGTGAATCACTTTTTAAATCCGAAGTTTGTAAAAAGTAGGCAGTAAACTTGACGGAATTTGAAGGCTAGCTTCCGGATTTGTTATTTCCGAATTTTATAATGTGATTGGCATTAAAAACACGCTCACCTTCAACGAAATTTCCTTTCCGAGGCTTTGTGTCAGCCCAATCACATATTGTGTCAATACTTATCATTTTATCGTAATTTAAAAACTTGGAAATTGCACGGTACACTATAGGAACTACGATAAATTTTCCCTAATCGGCGCCATATTTTTAGGCTCCTCCCATTTAACGGATCCCAATATAATTTTTTTTGTTTAGTGAATTATTCATATAAAAATTTCAATATTATTCGATGTTAATATTATATTATGATTTTGACGCAAAGTTAAACCTCTTGTTTATTAAGTAAAAGAGCAAGTAGCTGACCTCATAACAAGGATTATATTTTACGACGCAATAAAATTTGATGGTTGTATTTAAAAAAAAAAAGAAACGAAGGACCAACGGCAGAGCTTTTCTTGATTTACGACTTCACATAGCGAACCATAAAGTTAATTGTTTTTGATAAGTATAAGCGCAAATAGATACTTTGATGTTTGAAAGTTGATCATGGTTCTTTTTCTTACTTCTTTTGAGTCACTTAAAAACAAAAATAATAATTACTCATCTACGTTTAATGTAGTCCAGGGGTCCAGACCGATGAGTCTATCAATTGAAAATTATATACTGATCTAAACATTTTCATTTCTGCGTAAAATAATAATGATGATGAAAAATTGAGAGCATTATTATAAAACCATACGAATATGAATCAATTTACAGTTACGCTTGACTATAAAAATTTCTGTATGTATGGTCAGTAAATTTTCACTTTTGGTTATAAATTTATTGTTTAATAGATGTTTAATACGCAATTAAAATGAAAAATAATTGGTTTTGTTTCGGAAAATAGATGGTAAAATTTAAGACACTTTCTGTATTGTTTTCCCATAAAACCATTGATCATGAATGATAAATCATTAATAAGAGTAAGATGATCCTCATCATTATAAGGTCGTCAGTTCTAAGACTGGTTAGACACGTATCTCCACTCTCTTATCCTAAACTGATCTTCTCATTTCTCTAAAACTAGAACAACCCACATCCTTAACTATTTGCGAACAGTAATCTAATCTAGGTCTACCTATACCCCTTTTAACTCCCGTTTCTGCCTCTAATATGCGCTCCACACAAACACCTTTAACAACCTTTTTCGATTTTCTAAATTAACCGTTCGAGCATAGAAGTGACCTATTATTATTGAAGGCGACACGACCCTGTGCTTTATACTGCTTTATATCCCTACTACTCCTTCCGTCCTGACTTATCTGACTTCCTAGATAACTAAAATCAGCCACTTCTTCTAATCTTTCGTCTCCTATCTTTATATTCGCTCTTTCCCTAATTTTTCTTTCCTTGCATACCAGTATTTTAGTTTTACTTTTATTTATTTTCATACAATACTCTTTTGTCAGTACCGCTTTCATTTTATTAAAGCTATCTCTATGTCCTCCTTGCTGGATGCTAATACTGCTATATCATTTGCAAATCTAAGCATACTAATCTTTTGATGTGTATATCTATTCCTACAGTTGTACTGTCTTTAAAGATGTTGATCGCATCTTCGATGTATAGATTAAAAAGTAGCGGTGACAGTGTGAGTCTCAGTCTGACTCCCTTCCTAATACTCACTTTTCTATGTTGCAGCCCCAGCTCTATAATTGCCGGTTGCTCTTTATACGAACTATGTATCACTCTTCTATCTTTCTACAAATCTATACAAATCTACAAATCCTATGTATGCCCTCTTTCTTTTTTCTATCGTTTTCTCTATTGTTACCCGTAAAGCTAGAATGACCTCCCACGTTTCTCTATTTCTTCTAAACCCAAATTGATCTTCCCTAATAGTTCTTCCGCCCGATGATTCTATGATTATGATAAAAATTAAAGTCAAAAATCCTGTTGTAACAACTCTAGAAGAAAGTGTTATTTTATAATGGTCACCACCAAATGTTGTGCAAGAATTTGTCAGGTCGCAATAGGTCCTGGCAAACCGGGTTCATGTCCTACTTTTCCTCCAGCATCAACATCGCCACTAAGCCACACAAGCAATAAGGGAACCTCTCTCTGTTCGTAATTATGGCTATTTTAAGCAGTCCGTCGGAAGGCCCTTCATCACGGGTGTGCTGCTCCAGGCGTCAGTCATTAACATAACGTGATATCCGCTCTGGTCGACTGACTTCTTCTACTTCCGCTACCATCGTTTAAACGCATCAACATCAACGTTGCCTTGATTAACAAATGAACGCGAAAGGGAGTCGAGAGACTGAAGATCGTTAGTTCTCAGAATTCGTTATCGTCTCATTAAATAGTGATATATTATATTTTAAACATGCTTTGGAAGCTAATAGCCGAGAAAATGATCAGCAATTTAAGGGAAATTTATTTCCTTGGAGATAAACGAGAATGAATAATGTAGCAACAGGAATAATTTCGTTTAAAATGAAATTCTTGGTAATCTTAATCAATAATCTAATTAACCGTTAATTTATTTCAGTTTCGTTAATGTTTAACATTTCTGGTCATAAATAATGAGATTCAGATTAACAAACGGTTCCTCGGTTTTATTTTCTCTATTAGAAAGTTAAGAGATTTTTAAATAAAACAAAGCAAATAGGTAGATACCAACTATACTGTGCTTTGGGTGACTAAAAACAAGTAACATGTAATAAATAAAGATTAGATTTGCAGATGAAACCGTCCAACAGTATTAGTGTCTAGCAAGGAGGAGTTAGAGACAGCCTTAAGTAAAATGGAATAAGTATTGACAAAACAGTATTGTATGAAAATAAAGAAAAGTAAAAAAATAAAAGTATGCATGGGAACAAAAAGTAGGGAAAGATTGAATATAAAGATATGAGACGAAAAATTACAACAAGTGGTGGATTTTCGGTACTTAGGAAGTCAAGATAACTCAGGATAGGAGGAGTAGTGGAGATTTAAAACAGAGGACAGCGCAGGATTGAATCGCCTTAAAAAAAAGATGTTGCATCTATACTAGCGAACGGTTAATTTAGAAATTCTAAAAAGATTGTTAAGGGTATGTGTCTGTACGGGTGCCAAATGTTGATGGTGGGCGCGGCGGAAAAGAAAATTTTAGAAGCGTTCGAAATTGGTGTTACAAGCGAATGATGAGGATACCGTGGATAGAGAAGGTTAGAAACGAAGAGGTATTAGAAGGAATATGAGACTCTATGGAAGTCAATAAGAAATAGGCGAGATAGATTGGAAGGACACCTTCTCAGGCCTGAAGGGCTAGTTAGAGACGTATTAGAAGCAGATAGAACCGGATTGATTTGCTATTCACAAATAGTTAAGGATCTGAGATGTTCTAGTTCTAGGGAAATACGAAGAAAGAATGGAAGTGTGCGTTCAACCAGTCTCATTAAGACTAACGATCCTATGGGTCACATTTTGATGACCCTTCCTTTATAAAGACGTCACAAATTGCAGACACCCCTTTATTTTGAAAAAAAAATATTAAAGCAAATGAAATTATTCAACAAATGTTTAACTGGAAATAATTTGATAAAATAATTCGAAGTGGTCTGTATTCTGTCGAAACTGCCAGACGCGGATCGCGATTTCGATCTTTTTGGATCTCATCAGCACTTATGGTAACGTGCCCATCACGTTGAGGTTAGCTACGCCGGGATTCGTTTCAGCAAGTAGATATCCGTATATTTAAATGGACCTTGTTGGAGCATACGTAATCCTAAAATGTAGCATCGTACTACAGATGGCGTTTACCGCGCCATTTGTGGTTTTTTCTAAAACGCGCTGTTAAGACAACAGGTAAAAGTTGGTCTGTGTTCTGTCGGAGCTGCCTGCAACGCTCTGATGAGATCCAAAAAGATCGAAATCGCGATCCGCGTCTGGCAGTTTCGACAGAATACAGACCACTTCGAATTATTTTATTCGATTATGGTAACGTGCCTATCACGTTGAGGTTAGCTACGCCGGGATTCGTT